CCTTGAGATTTAGCTGTCTATAGTGGTTATGCAGCACTGTGAATGTAATTAATTCCATGCAATCGTATGTTTAAAAATGCTTAAAATGGAAATTCTTATGTTATATATGTTTTACCACAATAATAATAATAGAAAAAGTTTTAGCTGTCTGTATCTGAAACCAGAATAGGAAATTAGTCTGTTTGATGGTGTGACACAACAGGGGTATTGCCTTAGGTCAGCAAAGATGCAAAATTTGGCACTTAGAGACACTGTACCTCTATCACCTAGAACAATGCTTGGTGCATAGTAGATGCATGATCATTTTTGAATGAATGAATGAATGAAGAACTGCATAATTCAAATGTATAAAGAAACAATTTCTCTTAGCCGCATTTTATTTATGTTAATGATGTTATTGTAACTATTCTGGGTGGGTCTGCAAACATAGCCTGCAGTCCAGAACGTGTCTACTCTTACACCACTCGTTAGTGTACCTGTAACATGTCTCAGACATGCCTCGTCATCCAGAATGCAGGCGATTCCTGGAGAGCAGGGACAGTGTTTTCTACATCTGCATCCTACATTATGCCTATAACCAAGCATCCGGACCCCACAAGGCAACAATGTGGTAAAGCAGGGGGCAGCAACCTTTTTCTGTAGAGGGCCAATTAGTAGACATTATTAGGTTTTGCTGGCCATACAATCTCCGTAACTGCTCAACTTTGCCACTGTAACATGAATGAAGACACCGACAATACTAAATAAATGGGTGTGGCTGCTTTGCAATAAAACAATTTACAAAAGCAAGTGGCGGCTGGATTTGGCCCACGGGCCACAGTTTCCAATTCCTGCTTGAGAGTCCAAGGCCAGAAGAAAACAAGCATTTTGGGAAGAAAGCTGGACAGAAGTTCGAGGCTGGGTTCTTGACCTGTCTGAATCTCAGTTCCTTCATCTGTAAAAGACCCTTCTAGCTTTGAAATCATTTAGTCCTAAGAAGGAATTTCAACACCTACTAAAAACATGACTCACAGCATCGTTCAGAGTCGCGCCTCATCCCCCTACAGGTGCACGAGGCCAATATACTCTGGCTATGAAACGCACCGGCAGGACACAAGCCAGTAAAACTTTTGTTAGGTAAAGTTTGAGAAGATTGACAGATGCTTCCTGCTACCCCTCTAGCCTCCCAGGAATCCTTTCCTGAAGATAATAAATAGAAAATAAGCTCAGAAAGAAGTAACTTGCTCATCGTTACACACACCATTGGCTACTCAATAAAAAACAGAACCCAGGGATCTTGTCTTGTTCTATGTTAAACTCTCTCCCTTAAGTGCTGGCCATTCCAACTTGTTAAACTCTTAACAGCAGGTCCTTCTTATCTTTTGAAAAGTAGGGGACACCTTTAAAAATAAGCTACATGTTATATTTAAATGGATCTCATTTGTGGTTTGTATGTAACCTGTCAACCACCTACTGAATTTTCTTTATTGATTATACTTAAGAAAACTGTCATGCTTTGCATGTAATGTCTTGTGATGTATCCCAACTTCAGAGATATTGAAAAGTGGAAAAAAAAAAAAAAACCCAAAAGAATTTATAAGAAATGATGGATTTTTAATTGACCAGGACAGACCTGGACTCTTGGATTTATATTTCTACTTGAAATAGAAAAAATACACTGGGCCCTATCTTGCTTGGCTCCTGGAAATTTTTCCCCCTGGATCTAATTTCCACTTGCCTCTATTCTAAGCATTCATCTAAGCACAGCTGAAAGCTACCCCCGCCTGCAGTGTTACCTGACATCCCTACCCCGACTTCCTACTGGACCTAATAGGAGCCCTTCTAAGACGCACATCACACGCTCCACTTTTATAGCTACCGGCGCCCGGCTCTTTCCAGATACACACTGTGTCCTACATCTTCTTGAACCTGCCCTCACCCACGCAAGAAGGCAGAACAGTAGCTTAAACATAGAAGGCGTCCAAACACAAGAATCCTAGTGTACCTGGGCAAATTACACCTGAGTGGCAGGAGCTTGGCTTTGTGTTTTGATCCACTTTCATGAGTAGTCTTTCCATCTGTACTCTCCAGCGCCGGTACTCATCAGTGACATTCAGCACCTCATTTCTTTCTGTGCTGTACTTATTTAAAAAGAAACTAAGTTTTCTCATCCATCTAACAGATGCTTTATAGAGATTTAGAGACTTTTTATGGCTGTTCAGTAATGATACAACTTTACACTGTGTATAGGACTCACGCAATGGATTCTACCTTACATAAATAGAATCAATTATACAAGGATCTGAGTAGCCAAGTAAGACCAGAAGGGTTGGGGTAGAGAAGCAGGAGTACCCCAAAAGAAGAAGGAGCCTAGGGATGTGGTGAGTTTTCTTCAGAGCATTACGGAATCAAGACAAAGTGTTAGAGCACAGACTTGCAGAGCTGGAAGGAACCTTAGAAACCATCCAGTCCAATTCTCTCATTTTACTCCTAAGAAAAACAATGCCTTTCAGTTAAATTAGTTCATCTTGGATTTGGTTATATTAGTAAATACATACAGCTGGAGATTTAAACACTTTTGAACATACCATCAGAGCATTAATAATCAGTCTTAGGGGACTCTGTCCTACTGAGGGAGTTAATGCATTCCCCCAAAGACCTGGGCACTGGGGTTATTTTACATGAATATTTGCCTTCCTAGAGCCATAGTGAACAGCAGAGATTCCTCCTCTCTGTGTGTTCAAAAGAGAGGGGGAGTCCACAGACTCCAGGGTGCATCATGCGGGCGGCACCAGCTTCTGAACCGAGGGGACGCACCCACTGCCAAACAACTCTGATGTTCAGGCATAAGATGAAAAAGTGGTATAATTTTACGAGACTAATATGTTAAAATTTACAACCTACTAAACATGGAAAATTAATTCCTTAAGTCTAAACAATTTATTCCTCTTGATTTATGGTCTTATCTCAGATTCCCAAAGTCTGTGGTCAAGACAGTGTCACAGCGGTGGATTTGACAGATCCTGACAAGGAGGCCAGACTTCACCAGGGCAGCACTACGGACAGCAGCTAAGGGGGCAGCAAGGACTGTCCTGTGGACCTGGTCACCCAGCCCCTGTCTGACCTTGGGCAAAGTCCTTTGCCTTGCTGAGGCTCTGTTTCCTCCATGGTTTCCCCTGTACAAAGGATCCGTCCACATGAGATGAATATAGCAGTAATAAGCTGCCTCAGAGAGCTGTCCTGAGAATTATAGACAAGTAAGAAGTATCTGCAACATGTCAAGCACTGCTGTACACACTGTGCAAGAAACAAGACAGGACGGGTATGTATAGACAAGAAGGGTCTTGGCCTGGGAAGCCCAAGATAGGTCTTTTATATTATTCACAGCCATACACGGACCCCATCCTCTTTCTCCAGTTATCTGGGGAAATTCACAAGTTCTGCCTAAGCTCGTTACTTCTTTATCACCCGTTCTTTTTTCCCCAGTTTTTTTTTTTCCTTTTTATTAGTAAAAAAACCCTAATGTCTGTATAAGAGTAGAGAGAACAGTAACGTGAACCCCATATGTCCATCCCCAGCCATGTGACCATCGGTTAGCTCATGGCTGACCTCATGTATATTACATTCACTCCCACCCCACGACCCTGCCCCATCCTTTAAAATGGAATCCCAAACGTGTCATTTCGTTTTTCACAGCTTTTTAAATACATAGTCATCTTAATTCACCATTTTATTTTCTTGATTCAACATCCCTGAGGTAAGTTATAAATAACAATAAAATCGAGGCAACACTGGAGGTGCACTTGGGGCCAGTGAGAAATCTGGAAACAAATGACAAATAAAAAAGGGACAGTGAGTTGAGGCAGAGGCACAGTGGGCCTGCAGGAGTGAGTACCTGTCATTACGTTGCTATGAGCACAGCTGCATGCCGGTGGTCTGAGCAAGGTCTGTCCTGGGGCATCAGCTCATGGAGAAAGGGGCATTTCTCACTGTTCCCTGGATAAGCCTGTCCTCTCCTGCCTCCAGGCCCCCTCCCACTATGGAAAGCATGATCATTTCAGTACCGAGTATCCCCTGCAGGGCTGTCCTTGGGTCCTCCAGTCAAAATGCATCTTCCTTCCGCTTTGCTTCCACAGCCCTTTATTATTCTGGCACACAGTAGATGCTCAATGAACGTTTGTACACTGAACGAGTGGGACATAGGACTTATTTCATTCTGCCCTATATCTTAGGCTTTTACTTTTGTCTCTCCCATGATATTCTAAATTCCTTAAGGAAAAAGACAGCGTGTGTTAAATCGGCTATGTATCCCCTACTCCTGCTGCATTTATTTGCACAGGGTAGGCGCTCAACAAATGTCTCACGAGTGGAGAGTTGCTCTGGGAAAAGAGCTAACCTTGTCAAATGGTTAGAGGATTAAACTTCCAGGGAATGACTTCATGCAAATTATGGGCACACCAGCAAAAATATAGTGTATAGATTTTTTTTCACTGGTTTCTACTGGTTTCTTGCCTTAGGTAAGCAAATTTGGGCTTGTCATCATAACAAAAAAGAATTTGGGAAGTGGTTTCCTCTGTCCAAATGACCCAGCAACACCTGCTCCAATACCTATTTTCCTTTCCTACCGCTTCCCAAGGTGAAGGCTACACCCCAGGTACTGCCTGTAGGCTGGAACTACAGGCCTGAATCTGAGACAACGGTTCATTATGCTATGCCTGGTCATTAATTAGCTGCTGGAAACTTCAGGAAGGGCCATCAGCATGCTTCTAAACCTTTTATTTTCAATGTTTTCCCTTAGCCATGCTTCTGATGTGACTCTCCTCTAAGCTGGATGTAGGACATTTGTTTTGTAACATTTCTGAGGGTCACTGACCACCCCATCCCAGCGGCTCATTCAGCAGGCCGTTAGGGATTTTGCCTCATCCAGGCAGAAGCCTCCACATGCCCTCCCCAGGCCTCGGGGGGCACCGCCTGGGCATGGAGCGAGGCTGGCTGCAGGCGCTGAGGGGACACTCACTCACCTGCTATTCTCCCGATGGGCATGGCGTGCTCTTCCGGCGGGGACACAGACACCATGATGTGGTTCATGTAGGCCAGGTCTTCCCGGTGAGAGAGGTTGATGGGCTTCCCTTCCCTGTGCAGCCCGTCCTCCGAGAGCCTGGACTGTTTGAAATCCACGGAGTGCCGGGGGTTCAGGATGAGGGGGTGCATGATGGGACTGGGCATCAGCTGGATCACGCGCGTGCTCTCCTGCCGCGGGCTGGCTGGCTTCGGGTGGGGCTCAGAGGACGGCGGGCAGTGATTATTCTCCATGGGAGACACGGACAGAGGGTAGGGCTCCTGGTGGTTGTTCTCCTGGTGGAGCCTCGGCCCCTGTGCCCTCTCGGCCGGGGAGAGGCGGCGGATCATGTTGTCCAGGGGGGACCGGAGGGGCCGCTGCTCGGGGTCGGGGGAAGGCCGGTGGTTCGTGGTGACGGGGGACCTGGAGCGGTGCAGCAGTTCAATGGTGGGAGGGTTGTGGTGCACGTTCTCCACGCATGGCCTGGGGGTCCTCTGGACACAGTTATCTGTGGGGCAGAAGGAGAGAGTCACAGACTGCAGCGAACTGGCAGGACAGGGACCTCACTGAGGCGCTAAAGCAAGACACAGCAGAGTGTGTTAGGTGCACGTAGTGCCTTTCTGCCCAGGATGCAGGGTGTCTCTCACTGCTTAAAAAAAGTTAAAATGTACATATTGAAATTATTTTCCTACCACTAGACAAGCTAAGAGTGTCTACAAACATACCATGAATCACCTTTCAGTGGTTTATAAAACAATGAAGCCAAACGTCCACTCTTTATCCTCCTCTCACTTGACTCTTCCGTGTAGCTTTCGGAGTCAGAAAGGTCCTTAGGAATCTCCCTCTAGATGCTTTCATTGACTTATATTTTCACAACCAAATTTTCATATTCTCTACTTCTAGGAGTTGTTGGTATTAATGATAATAATGATTAACAGTGACTATATCCTAGGTACTGGATTTTATTGCTTAAATCTTACGACACTTCTAAGCAGGAGATCCCACTACTGCACCTGTATTACAGATGACAGAACCGAGGCATTAAGAAGTTAAGCAACTCACCCACGGTCATGCAGCTGCGTGGGGATTAGAACCAGACTCTGGTCAGATTCTAGAATCTGTGCACTCATTACAATACCTGTCACTTTGCTTCACAAAAACCGGGGCACAAAGTCACATCAAAACCTACTCTAAGCATGGACAGAGGCCCTAACTTACGTAATGACAATCTTGTTGTACATGAAAGAACTTTTAGGAGCACAGACCCAACAAATGCTCAGAGACAGGTAGAGGTAAGTAAGAGTAAGGATGGATGGATACCCCAAACCACCCTCCACCCCACCCCACTTGAAATTTCAAGCTGGTGACATCTGAGCAAGGACAACATCAGAAGTGTACACAGCTCAGCAACAGGAGTAGCTCTAGAAGGTGGATCAAGGTATGGGCCAGCATACATGTGGCTCTGGGTGTCCCTCCTAAGGCTCAGAAGGACAGGAATCTGCCACAAAAATGGAGCTTTCTACACGTCTCCACACCCATCTCAATGAGGTCTCTCTGGCCATGTCTGTTCCTGGAACTTTTTTGCCAAAAAGATGTGCATGTTTGCAGGTCCCTGTTCCACTCAAAGACTTGTCCATGGTTCTAAGTAAAGCAAATCAAAAATATCACCTTTGTCCATTAAGACGACATCTGTATGAAGAACACATAATGGGGATCTGGGCATCTGACAGATCAGTAAACAGAGACAGAGGTGGTGGTTTCTTCAAGTTTTAGGCAGGGTTAACAAGAAAATGAAGATGTTTTCCTCTTTTCAAATTTCATTAGATCTCACCTATCATATAAGATAGTGGACAAAAGAAATATTGTTCATGATATTAAAAGATATGTCGTTGGGCCGGCCCGGTGGTGCACTGCTACAGTGCACCGCTTGGGAGTGCGGTGGCGCTCCCGCCGAGGGTTTGGATCCCACATACAGACCGGTTCCCGCTCACTGGCTGAGCGAGGTGTGGGAGCAACGCCGAGAAAAAAAAAAAAAAAAAAAAAAAAAAAAAAAAAAAAAGATATGTCCTTGAAGGGTTTATTTTGTAACCTGTTGCCACAAATTCAAAAGTGCCTAATTATTGGAATAGCTATCAGTAAGAAATTGGTTTAATAGGTTATAGTATATCTCTAAAGAATGGAGTACTATGCAACTGTAAAATGGAATGGGGAGTATCTCAAAATTTTGCTAAGGACTGCTGTCCCAGCTCTATGATTAGATAAGAAAAGCAAGATTCAAGTATTTATGATCTGCTACCACTTATCTAATAAAGGACAGGAGGAGTTCCAATTTCAACAATGGCAGAGTAGCTTATACCACACTAACCTTTTTACAGATAGGAATTATAGAATCTGGATAAAATACATGTAAGAAACTATTTGAAGATTCTTAAGAGTGACCAAAACCAGACAAAATCCGAAGGGGATTTTACTCTTGAAAGAAGGGCCCTGCACAGAGTGAGATCCATACTTGCACAGCTTTCCCCCGAGGGTACTCCCTAGTCCATGCACCGGGCAGTTAGAAGATGTACAGAAAGTTGCTTGAGATGTCAGAAGATGAGTATGTAGCTGTCAGAATGGCAGAAAATTGAAGGATTTCAAATCCCACAAAGGAGAGAGCCTTATAGGGAATAGTCACTAAATTGGTAAAAGCTCTCTCAAATTCTTGTCTGACTCTTAAACAGCACATGTGCAGGGGAGATGCTAACAAGTTCAGTGAAAAGCAACAGTTGTATGGTCAAAAAACATGAGCAGAAATCTCAGCTACTGGCTACTGCAGTAGAGACAGAGTTCTGAGTTTGAGTCTCATCAAGTTAGAAGGCTCTGTAAATGCCTCAGACTATCCATTACCCCAGAAGGGCCACACCTTAGGGGTAATGGCTATGCTCCAGGACAAAGGGATCTGGCTGAGGGCTAAAGGCAAAACTAACTTACTACAGAGTCTCAATAATGTGTTATCTATGTTGTTTGGTATCCAACAAAAACTTTCTAGACATGAGAAGAGACAGAAAAATGTTACCCATAATAAAAAAGGTCTGTCTATCTCAGACCTTGAGATAATCTAGATATTAGAATCAGCAAAAAAAGACTTTAAAGTAGCTGTTATAAATAAGTTCAGGCACTTAAAGGAAATGATGGCCATAATGAGTGTGGAGAAAATAGGATAATTTAGTCAGGCTCCCTGGCTCAGGTCTGGTTGGGGGGTCAAGCAGCACATTCTTAATTCTTTGTAAACAAGTTGTGTGTGGGTGGGGTTAGTGTACATGTGCACCCATGTATATTTTAGTTAATTGCTATTGTGTGTTCTGCAGTTAGTTAGCAGAGCTGGCCAGCAGAGAGCTCGAGTCTAAAAATAGAAAATGTTTACGCTGCTGGCAGTTGCTCAGTTTCTCTTTGGACTTTGCTGATAGCAGTTGAGTTTCTGAGTTTCTGAGTTTCTCCCCTGTACTGCCTAATTCCTAGACATGTGTGTGCTGCATAAAGACTATTCCTGGGCCGAGCCCGTGGCGAACTCTCGGCACTGGGAGCACAGGAGCGCTCCCGCCGTGGGTTCGGATCCTATATAGAGATGACCGGTGCGCTCACAGCACTCACTGGCTGAGCGCGGTGCGGCCGGTCTCAAAAAAAGGACAAAAAAAAAAAGACTATTCCTTCTTCAAACAAGGCTCCAAGGACCATTTTGTCTGGTTACCTAGCTCGCAGACCTGTGTGTGAAGGGTTTGTGAACAGGCTCTAGGGGTCTGTAAGCACCAGACCCTAGCCCTAGCTCCACAATTGGCGTTGTTGGCAGGATTACACTACACTGACTGATAACAGATAGAGACTGTCAGAAGAGAAATGGAAACCGTTAAAAAACAGAATGAAGACTCTAGAACTGGAAAGTGTAATACCTGAAATAAAAGATTAGATTGAATGAACTTAATAGCAGATTGGAGATGAGAAAAGAAAGGGTTGGTAAATTTGAAGACAGATTAATACAACTTAAAAACAACAGACAAATCCTCAGTGACCTGTGGAACATATCAAATGGTCTAAAACACATATAATTGGAGTCCAAGAAGGAGAGTATAAGAAGAATGGGGCCGGAAAAAGAAAAAGAAAAAAAATAACAGCCAAATTATCCAAAATTTGATAACATCATCATCAACAACAAACTTAAAAATACAAGAAACTCAGCAAACACCCAGCAGCAGAATGCACATAATGAAAACTATAAAACTATATATATCATAGTCAAACTTCTAAAAACCAAAGATAAAGAGAAAATTTTAAAAACAATCAGAGAAAAAAAAAGATAGGGTAAAAGTTATACTAACTATGGTTAACTTCTTTTAAAAAAAAACCAGACAGAGAGCCCAAACACACACACACGAGAAGGATATAAATGGGACCTATAGATCGAAAGAGACTTGCGACACCTCAACTGTGTGCAATATACAGACCCTTGCTTGGATTCTGATTCAAACTATAAAAAACATTTATGTGATAATCGGAAAAATGTGAACCTTCATAGGATATTTATGATCCTGAGGAACTACTAGTTTTCAGGTGATGTGATATCTCTGTGATTATGGTTTTATAGAGTTATCTTTTCAGACCTATATGATATATTTACAGATGAAATGATATATGTGGGATTTGCTTTAAAATAACCTGGCATGATGAAGGAGAGAGTAGGAGGGACACAGAGGATGCAAGATTAGCCATGAGTTGATTGTCACAACTGGTTCATTATACAATTCTTCCTACTTGTGTATAGGCTTGATATTTTCCATTATAAATTTTCTTTTTTAAAATGTGCCTAATCAACTTTGCAAGGATACAGGTTGGAATGACAAGCACTAACTTCCTCAGTTCAACCCAAATACATACAAATGCTTACAGGGTACTGACTAAGCCAATGGAGTTAACTTTAATCACTAAGGTTATTAGTATGATAGAAATGATCAGTGATCTTTTGGAGACAAGGCAAATTTTATTTTTATAGTTAATATGTATCTCAATTCTGCTGCCCATAAAAAAGAATATATCTTTTGTCCACAGTTTACTTTTCATTTGTCACAGAATTTGGCCATCATAAGCAACTATTTGAGAGTCTCATTCCAAACTTTCATATATTTTCTTCTAAATGCCATTTACAGAATGTCTCCCTTTCTTTAAAAAGCATATTAAGGGCCGGCCCGGTGGTGCACTGGATAGTGCGCCGCTTGGGAGGTGCGGCGGCGCTCCCGCCCGAGGGTTCGGATCCCACATACGGACCGGTTCCTGCTCACTGGCTGAGCGAGGCGCGGGGGCAACACCGAGGGTTGCAATCCCGTTGCCGGTCCCCGGTCCGGTACGGGGGCAACACTGAGGGTTGCGATCCGTTGCCGGACACGGAAAAAGACAAAAGACAAAAAAATAAAAAAAATAAAAAAAATAAAATAAAAAGCATATTAAGGTTTAAAAATACTTAAGA